AATTCTCCCTATTTTTGTAGGCCAATAAAAGGTAGAATGGTTGAAGAGCATGTGAACTTCTGCTAGTAGACTCCAACTACTCCCAAACAATGAAATTAGCCAAGCCCAAAGGTCTGTAGAAAAGGGACAAGAAATTAATAAATGGTAACAATCCTCCCCGTGAGCTCTACAGAGGATACACCAATTAGGGGAAATACAGAGGAAAGGTCTTCTCTTTTGTAGGTTATCTAAAGTGTTTACTTTCCCATTTAATACTTCCCAACAAAATGCCAAAAATTTTGGGGGAACTGGCCTACACCAAATTTCTTTTGACGGAAAGGGTTGGTGAGTAGAAAGTTGAGAGATGGACTTGAAGAAAGAAGCACAAGTGAAGGTTCCATTGGGTCTAGGAGTCCAAACCCTCTTATCTGGCTTGGAGGGATCCAAACAAACCTGATTAAGACAACCAAGCAACGCAGAAAGACAATCAATTTCATCATCCCTAAGTTCTCTACGAAACCCAAAATCCCAAGTAGGATCTAAGGGTGTTCCCAAAGGTGAGACAAATTTTGAGACCACCTCTTTTTTGTACAAAGAAATAGAAAAAAACGAAGGGAACAAATCCTTTAACAGTGTGTCTCCTACCCAAATATCCTCCCAAAAATGGACAAAGTTGCCAGAACAAACTTCATACCTGATAAAATTGAGGAATTGAGCAAGCTAACCTAGCAGCACCTTTTCTTTTATTTCCTTTTCTCTTTTTTTCCTTCTCTTTCTTTTTCTTTCCCTTCCCTTTCTTTTCCTTTCCTTTTTTTCTTTTTTCTTTTTTCTTTTTTTTTTTCTGTTTTTTTATATAAGATGTGCATGAGGCATATGCCTCATGAAAAAAGCGCATGAGGCGTATGCCTTAGAGGTGTCAGCGCCTTTGGCATATGCCTCAGGGCATTTTGGGAGCGCCTTGCCTGGAGGCACACCTCCAAGCGTATGCCTCCCACGCCTTTTAAAACACTAGTTCGACTTATTCCTTTAATTCTTCTTGTCTAAACAAATTTGACTCCTTTAGTATTCTATACATAGTGCAGCTACACATGTTCATGTGCCAGATATGATACATGGGGAACTTGCTTAGCCAATTTATTTCCTAGATAGGTAGCTCATCGCCAAGGCATGAACCAACAACCAAGAATTATAGGTGGGTGCCCTATGTGAATCAAGAAAGGTGTATTGTCAACTTGGCCCAGCATGATGCATTTTTGCCTAGGTGATGCCTTGATGACTATGATTTATCCAAGTTTGGTAGCAGAACCATGACACAAAATCTTAGCACTAGTGGAGTTAGTCAGAATATAGTTGTCATCAGAAGATGGGGGAGGGGATTATTTTCTCTCTTTCTATTTTGTTTAATCTATAATGTTTCAGATGTTATATTTTAGACATGTGATTTTGAAAAATTTTTTAAGTTTACTATGAATTCAGCCTGCAATTTAGTGTTCTCTTGGCTTCTTTAACGACCAATAGTTCCAACCAAAAACTGTGATTTCATTGCTTCTGGTATAAACTGATGGATTAGAATTATTATTATTTTTTCAATATATAAATATCATAAAGTTCAATCTGAAATTTTTTGATTTGCCTTTAAGATTTTTTTTTCTTATTTTCTACTTGATATATGTCTCAAAAAGATGAGGGTCCTGATGGTTACACATCATACATCTGAGGTTGCCAGTGCTACAGAACTTGCCTTTGTCTTTTAAGACATTTATTTTGGCTGAAACTATTTCAAAATTCCATTTTATAAAAGAAGCATCAAGCATAATTGGAAGCTTCATGTAATAATATCTTCTAAAGAAACTTATATCAGCCTAGTTGGTCAAACTTGTAGCCAGTACGAGTAAATCATATCATGCACATTCAGGAGTATTTTATGAGGCACAGTGTGGGATCCACTGTCCACCCACAGAATATATTCCTGTGTGCAGAGTCAGCACATTTTTATCAGATACAAGTTTGACCAACTTGTACCAAGATTTTGTGTTTTAATCCTTTGTACCTGTAACCCCTTTTCTAGAAAGAATCTTAAGGGTTTTTTATGGCATTTGAGCTGCAACAATTTTTCCCTTATTTAAAATTTCTCTATAAAAGTTTTGGGAGGGAAGTAGACTTGAGATTCAGCAACTCTAAACTATTTGATCTTGAACAGAACTGTGCAAGAAGCCTAAGCGGCTTCAACAAGTTCTCTCAACTCTGCAGCCTGAAGTTGATACATTGCTTGCAGTGGCATAAACTAATTTTTATTATTTGTGTTTTTAGCACTCAAATCAAACTATTTAAGATTCAGTGAAATTGTTTTGATTACTCTTTCCCGAGAAATAATATAGTCAAAATTGGAATCTTGATTAGCAAACAGCAAAGTGTGCCACTTTTTTCTTTATTTTTTATTTTTTTTTATTGGTAGCAATGGAGTTTTATTATATTAAAGATAAAAAATGACATACAAAAGTGTCCTACTTTTAGTTTGGAAGTAATAGCGACTTAGCAAAGTATGAATGTTTAAAATTTTTTAATGGAGACTATAGTTTGGAACCTAATATCAGAACTAGAGCCAAAGTCTGTTTGGTGTTCTATATACCAAAAAATGAAGAACCTAATGGTCATATTCATCGCAGAGCAAGAGGATCTAATGATCACTCTTCTTTAAACAGCACACAGATCAGTGGTGTTGTTCTTGAAAGCCATACACTGAGTATTGGAGTTACATTTGTCATCCATGTGCCAAATTGGTGTATTATTCTCAAAAGGTTACTGATAAATGATATTATGCATTTTCGGTTGAGAGTTTTGTGATTACAAGTCCACTCTCAACAGCTTGTTGACCATTCAGTTGTACTGCCCACCTCATTGCCAGAGGAAGACAAAAGAGGCACTTGGAAGCTCTTAATTATCAGATAAGCCTCTTGGAAGCTCTTAATTATCAGATAAATTGAAATTGTTATTGTTGTTCTAATAGCGTATTGTTTCTCATCATGTTTTCTTTAAGCATAAGCAGCTTTTGCTGACATATTGGTGAAAGGTGCATGGATAGTTTTACTCCATTTGTTTTGTTTTTGTTTTCTTGATAAAAATTGTTATGTGGTGAAGAAATGATAGTTAATGTCCATTGATGTTATTATTCAACTTCCTGGTTTGGTGTGCACCTAGAAGTTTTGATTTCTGGTAAGCTTCCTTGGGATCTGATGGCACTGAACTTATTGATTCTGATAGACCTTTGTTTGGTATTAATGCTTACTTCTTCTTCATTACATTTTATAAAATGCTGTTCATGCACATAGGCTGAAGCTTCATCTAATATTGTTATTGTCTGCAGATTCCATGTGGTGGCCTACTTGCAGCAAATATGGTGGTTTGAAGTGGATGGAGTCATCAAGTTTCCTTTTCCTGCTGGTGTTTACACTTTGTTATTCAGGCTTCACCTAGGTAGATTTTCGAAAAGATTGGGACGACGTGTGTGTAATTTTGAGCACACTCATGGTTGGGATATAAAGCCTGTACGATTTGAGCTATCCACATCTAATGGCCAACAAGCATTTTGTGAGTGCTGTTTAGATGAACCTGAGAAGGATGATGCAAATGGCAATAGTAAGCGTGGATGCTGGATAGAATACAAAGTAGGCGAGTTTATTGTCAGTGATTCAGATCCTGCCATAGAAGTCAGATTTTCCATGAAACAAATTGATTGCACACATTCCAAAGGTGGGATATGTGTAGACTCTGTGTTTATTATTCCTAATGATTTGAGAAAGAGAAGATTAAAGGTTTAGGTTTTGAAGTAACAAGCATCATGGCATGTATTGTCAAGATCCTGATTTGGGTGTGATATACAACTCATACTTGTAATGATTACTGTTCAGAGGATGACATGGTATCCGTTTTTGGAGTATGTACATGTTCTCAATGGTTTATGATTTTTTACTTTATTTGACCCAGTTTTGTTTATTTTGTCACATTATTGAAGATAAAATGAAAAGAATTTACTTAGGTTAATCGACTTGCTTTTGGCACAGATACTCTGTTAATCTTAGCTGGGAGCACAGATACTCTATTAATCTTAGTTGGGAGAACAAATATAAATTATGTCTTTTTTTTTGCCATAGCATGTGTTTGAGTGATTTGGTATTCAGTTTGCTGGTTTTAGTGGAAGAGTGGGTCAGAGATTGGATGGTCCGAGTGATCCAGATCCTGGATTGATCAGTCTGGATTTTGCCTGTCTTGGGTCTTGAATCATTAGTTTCAAGCAAATATGCTCAGAAAATTAACATCAATGACATGGAATTTAAGAAAAAAAAATGACAGATGGAATTTAGCAAAGATGAATTTTAGCTTCAATTGGAACTTAAATCAAGGTTTATTTGGATACCATATTCAACAGGGGAATTTTGTCCAAATGCACTGAAACTATCCAACATTGCAGGAGTAGGAAGACAGAGGCAGCAACATTTTGTGGCGTTTCCTCAGTGGCTCTTTGATTTGTGTGCCATACAGACATTTCAAATGTCCCCACCTCTTTTTGTGTGCAACTGGTGGACGGATGGGGAGTTTGCTGTTGGCTGTTTCGATGCTTTTGGCATCCCAATTATGATGTAGGATGTTTGGAGTAAAACTTTTCATCTCCAACGAATCTTCCGCTGAGTTGTTTTGACTTTTCTGAGCCACGAAATGACGGTGGTGTCTATGCTGTCTTGGTCATTTTAGCATCTCCACCCAACATTCCCTGTTTATATTAGGAATGGACCTAATCTGGGAAGTATACATTGATTGTTTGTTTGTTTGAACAATGAAGTGAACAGGGTCCAAGATGCTAGAAAATCTTATTTTTTTTCTTAAATGAGAGCTATACTGGGTTCATCTCCACTTAATTTTAAATTTCCACATTTCCTACCTGAGACCCTTTGTTGAGGGGAGGGGTTTACTCTTTCAGGGCTTATATGAGAATTTGATTATGTAATCCGCTAATTTGATGTGGTAAAACAGGTAAAAACTGTTGTATAGATGAGCTCAGTCTCCAACTCTCCATGGCTGATGACAATGCCGCTGAATTGAAGATAATGACCCAATAAACCTTTGTGACTGGTCTCTCTCGTTAATAAGTATGGAGTCAACAAGCAACTCCGCACCATCTTATTTTAGTGTCTCGGAAATTGGACTCACCTTATAAATGCTTGTAGGTTATAGCTGAGTCTGCATTCACTTGCTGCTAGACCTAAGCCTATTAGCCTCATTAACACTGAGCTTACCTATTCCTAAGGTCGTAGTTGAGGAAATGTTGAATTATAGCAATCACAAACGAAGTGCACTATTGCTGATTTCTCGTTCCTCATGTGGTTTTGAAATATGAGCTTGGGATAATTGGCTCTTAAGATTTGGAATTCTTGGCCTAGATGGTGTGGGCAAGCTAAGCTGAGTTAAACCTTAACGACCCAAAAAGCCTGAGAAGTGAAGGATGGGTCGTCTTGGTTGGACCTCCAATGGGCATAGCCATATAGGTGGGCTTTTAACAGACTTCTACTGGTTTGATGCTACAGTATAGCTCCAGAAGATGGTCCTTAGGTGGGCTTTCAGCTTTCACAGCTCACATGCAAACTGGTCCCCTTTGGCCCGGGAGAAACTTTAGCAGATCTCATGCAACTTTATGAGAAATGTTTTAATTAACTCATAGCATAGCATATACTGATATAAGCCTAGAAATTCAGGACCACCCACCAAAGTCTTCATGGTGTTTTCTGCGAGCTACCTTTCTAGGCGTTGCTCTTTGGTTTATTAGGGTTGCCCCACAACCCAGTTCAGGTCTCCAGGTTTGGTCTGTTTATGCCAGAGTGATTAGTGTGTGGTATGGCCATGAGTACAATTCAATATGTAACCAAGTATTGTTTGGCTCCTAAGCAAATTTGATTTCACTTGGACCAAGTGATATACCTGATTATGTTGCCAAACACGCCCATCTATTGCAAAAAAAAAATGGTCCAAATTCGTCTCTTCCACTGATACAAGTACACGTGCATCATGAGTTAAATTGAGAGAGAGAGAGAGTTAATAAAACAAAAGACTGAAGAGGGTGAAGAGATATTCTGGTTCAAAAGAGACAATATGGTCTTCTTTTTATTCTTCTTTGGACAACTTGTCTCTTTGTAATCTTTATATGTCCAAAGAAAGTATGAAGAGGGACGAGGAGTGGCCTAGTAATAGAAAAGTCTGACGTCTCTGTCTAGTTCTCAATTTGTTTTACCTTTTTTCTTCTTTTAATTCGTCTCTGGGAGCCGTAGTTGTCAACTGGTTGATTTTAATTGCTCTCAAGAAAGAAGAACACCAACACCAGAGAAACAATAAAACAAAGAAAAAGAGTTGGATTAATTAATGGGTGGGGAGGACTGTGAAGTATAGGAGGAGGAGGAGAAAGAAGAACAACACACGTCCAAACAAATGGAAGGAGACGTTTCATCATTCTGTAGTCCCTTCTGTGGTACCACCCAGTTCTGAAATTTGCGGCTCAAGTTCTGTTGGGACCGTTATGGCTTTGGAATTACTCATGATCCCTCCCTCTCCACACTTCCCAGACCTGAGCCTTCATTCAATGCCATTAAAACCAAATGCAGGAGAGACCCCTCACCACACAAACGCACACGAGCACCAGTGGTCATAACTCATAAGCGCTTTACTGGGTAGCCCATGAGAAGTTAGAATCCGTCCTGCATTCCGGTCATGTTTTTTTTGGTAGCACTGCATTCCAGTCATTGATTTGAATGATTTTACAACTATTTTGGTGTCTGATATTTAAACCCAGTTAATGAATTACATGGTGGAGCTCCAAGAAGTGGTTAATTTACTCTATGAGAGCCTTCTCTTCTGAATTCTGATTCTCATCACTTTCATAACTCAAGCACACACAAGGGGAGAGAGAGAGAGAGAGAGAGAGAGAAGCTCAGAATCTCCAGCTTTCTCCTCTAGGCCCCTACCTACTGTTTGTGAGTTATGGAGGAAGGAGGATAAGAGGAATGAGGGGCCCATTCTCTAGTTTTCTTTAGTTTCTTACTTATCTTCTGTCTCCTTTTCCGGTGCAGAAGCGTTGTCAGGGTGAAGATACCTCTTGGGTTTCATCCCCCTACAACAACCTTCCCCGCACGTCGTATACCATGTAGAATTTTTGGACTCAAGAGAGAGAGAGGAGTAGCAGGAGTCAGGAGTCAGGCCAAGGCGTGAGAAAGGGAGGGCATATTTGTCAGCCTTGAAGGGCTAGGCCTGGGGGACCAGATGGCGACCTCTGATGCCTCCCTCTCCTTCTCCTTCCTCTCACCCTTCCAACAGATCCCCGACACTCCTGCCATTGCTACTGCTCTCTCGCTCGCTCTCTCGCGTGGATACAGTACAAGAGAAAAGTCACCACATCTCACTCCCTCATTCCTACAGTACGACTGTTTTCATCAATCCACTTTTGTAATGTTGTCGCGCCCCAAACCAAACTCAGCTTCTATCGTCCATGTCTGGTCTTGCCACGCCTCATCTTCTATATATGTAATACCAATCTCACTCTATCTACACCCCAATTCATCATCCGTCCCCACTCGATCCCATTTAATTTCCATCAATGGAGATGGGCTCCATCTTGATTCAGTAGCTGTAGCTTGACAGAGATATAAAAAAAATGGCTTGGAACAGCAACGTTAGACCCCTTTCATCTCGAGCAGGAGACCATCAAACCTTCACCTTCCTATACGACTACGATTCCGACCACCCATTTCCAGGTGGGTAATGGGTTTTACCTCCGACTGGGTCCCTCACTCTCTGGCTCTTCTTGTATTATTAGTCTGCACTCTGCACTTGAGTAATGTGTATTTGATTTTCTTTTAATTTATCAGGAATGGAGATGAAGTGTCGTCCGGAGGCGGAGACAGCCGTTGAGAGGTGGGCACCGGTGATGACTAACAAGAGCAGCAACGGTAATAATCATGATAACAATGATATCAATAACCAGGAGAGGAAGAGACGGCTGACGAGTGATCAGATTGAGTCGTTAGAGCGGAGCTTCCAGGAGGAGATAAAGCTGGAACCCGAGAGAAAGATGAGGTTGGCTCGAGAGCTTGGGCTTCAGCCTCGTCAGGTGGCTGTCTGGTTTCAGAACCGCCGTGCCAGGTGGAAGGCTAAGCAGCTCGAGCGTGTCTACGACGCCCTTAAACAGGAGTTCGATGTCATCTCGAGAGAGAAACAGAAGCTCCAAGAGGAGGTCAGCACTCAGTAGAACTTTTCTGTCCTTGAAACAAAAAATCATCTCTCTCTCTCTCTCTCTCCTTCTACATATTATATTACTTTCCTCCGCAGTTCAAAAGTTCTCTTTTAGTTATCTATTCCATGCAAAGCCCATGCAAATCGAAACACGAAAATTAATGGCAGGAAGTAGATAGTTCTGCTTCCAGTCTTCCACTGTCCACTTCTTTCTCTCTTATTAGTTACAAGTAAACTCTGTAATGCAACTGTGTACGTAGGTTATGAAACTGAGAGCTAAGCTTGAGGATCGAGCCACAGCCAAGGAAGGTTCCACAGTTTACACAGAGGCCTCCGCAGAAGAGACGGTGGAGAGCACGTCGTTTGCTAGTCGCAGCTGCACCAAGTTATTAAATGGCTCCACAAGCTACGCCCAGATTGCTGAATGCAACAACAGCTTCATTTTCAATGTGGATGACTACAATCCGGCCTTGCAGCCTTACTGGGCTGTCATGTCTGGCTATCCTTGAGAACTGCAGAGGAACTGATTAGAGCTTGGCTAGAAAGCTAGGAGATATATATATATATACGAGTTAGTAGAGCTGGTCTTAATTAGTTGCACCTAAATTTCTGCTTACCTTATATGTACCCACCATGGGAGGAAGCTTATATATGTGTTTTGCACAGTTGCAGTGAGCATTAATTGGTTCTTCTTCAACAATTTGCACCCTTGAAGAGGGTTTTCTTTTTTACTTCTTTTCTTCTATGAATATCAATCAATGAACAGGAACAGAATACCTAACAAGAATTGCATCTAAGTATAAGAAGTTGATGACAGAAAGCTGCCTCTTGAGGCATCTCTGCAACTCTAATTCTATTCTCTGTTACTCTATCCGGCCATGCATCAGCACGTACTTGGTCAAGCATTTTTTTTTCACAGAAGAGGGTTGAGAATCTTGGTTTTTGAGTGACGTCGTATAGATTTTCTGTGATGCTAGGGTGATGTCTGGGAGGTTAAGTTCCAACCGGACCCAACCTTAATCATGATCCGGTTGGGTTAGGGTTGAGACCCCAGGATGGTTTAGTGTTAGTGATGAGGTTTTAACTTTGGGTTACTATCCAAAACTCCCTCTCACTTATCATAGCTCTGTCAGAGAAATTTTCTTATGTGAAACTTATCCTCTCTCTCTCTCTCTAAGAACCAGGAAAAGAAAACAAAGCCTTCTTTTTTCTGTTGTCTTCTTTTCTCCTTCGCCTCTCCACTAGCCGTTAAAAATTTCTCCTTCTACCTCTCAGAACTCAAGCCTGCAATTTCTAATAAGGATGAAAGGAAGGGATACGAGCAGTAGGTAAAGAAAAAAGCTTCCTCTCCCAGTGGTTTCAGTTATCAAATTCAAGGGATAGGATTCCCCATATTCTGATCTCTTTATGGTTCATATGCTGACCTCTCCCAACTTCATGCGGTGCATGCAGTTGTAAGTAAATTATCCTAGATTGTCGTTTCTATTCTTGGTTTTACCTAGGGGTTCAAGAAATTCTCAAGGAACAGTTCAACTAAATGATTAAGCTATTAAGCTATTAAATAAGGAACCCTGTTCATATGCATGGTCTTTTTCCTCATCTGTCTTAGGGCAATGCTCAAGACTTAAATTGCGGTCCTTCTCAACTAGAGCATCAACAGGTTTTGAATAATGCATCTCAAACCATTCTAAAATTTTCTTTTAGTGGTGTTGATCATCTCCAAATTATCCCAACCAGTAGAATGTCATTTATATACAAAGAAAGTGATGAAATAATATCCCCTTACTCTATTTTCTTGACATACATGAAATAATCTTCATCAACCATAGTTATCCCAAAAGAAAGTTATAGCCTCATGAAATCTCAAATACCATTTCGCAGATGATTGTTTGAGACCATAAATAAATCATTTGAGACAACACACTTTACCATCTTGCTCCTCAGTGATAAATTTGAAAGGTCGATCCACCTAAATCTTTTCCTCTAGTTCTCCATTGAGGAATGCAATCTTGATATTGATTTAAAATAACTTGAAGTCCAAATAAGCCATTATGACTAGGATGAGGAGAATAAAAGCAAGTCTCACCACCGGTGACAATGTCTCTTCATAGTTTATACCTTCTATTTAGGTATAACCTTTCATCACAAGTTGGTCCTTATACTTATCAATTGATCCATCTACCTTGCGCTTAATCTTCAAACCTGATTTGTTTTTAATGAATTTGTGCCTAAGTAGAAGGTCAAATAATTCCCACACATTGTTTTTTTTTTTTTTATCACTGAGTTAATTTCTCATAGCAGTTCACTGTAATTGAAGATAGAGAGCCTTTTGATAAAGTGTAGGCTCATTAATCTCTCATAGCAGTTACTCCTATGTAAATGGGGACCTTAAGAATTACGATAATAGAAGCATCCCAACTGATAGGTGCACTCTCTTTAGACAATAACACACGCTCACTATCCTTGGTGATTTCAGTATGAGATTGAAATTCTCTACCCTTGCCAAGTGAGTATGGGATTTCTTCATGTAACTCATACAACTTGATATCCCCTCTAACTTCACCAATACTTAGAAACAAATCCTCAAGAAATTCAACATTGCAAGAATCTATTTCAGTCATACCCCCATTAGGATGCTCACGATACGTACATCACATATCCCTTTAAATTTTCATGATATCTAATGAATACATACATGTTTATTAGACCTCGGACCAAGTTTTTCATATTTATGTGTGGGGTTGTGGACATAGCCAGTAGAACCCTAAGGGCTAAGGATAGAGATGGTCCAAGTTAAGTTTTTTATCATTCCACAACTCATATGAAATGGTAGGCACCGACTTACTTGGGATACAGTTAAGGATATAGGCTATAATCAAAATTGCATCCCCCAAAAACTAGTTGGGAGGTTAGCTTGCACCGTCAACAACCTAATTGTATCATGTAAAATATGATTCCCTGCAACACCATTTTGTTATTGGATACTAGGAATTGGTCTATATATGCCTTTTTTCTTACAAAATGTATTAAATTGATCATACAAGTAGGAGAGGCCACGAGTTGAGCTTTTTACAAACTATTTGAGCTTGACTCGTGAAAAGCTTGGCTCGATTTAAACCGAGCTTCAAACCAAGCTCGAGCCCGATTTATAGGCTCATTTGCTAATTGAGCTTCTACATACATACATACATATGTATAATAAAATAATAATATTATTATTATATATATAGAAAATAATATATATAAAATAAAAATGTTATATATATAATATTTTTATATAATAATAACTAATTTTTTATTTTTATAGAACATTTGACTCACAGTTGAGCTCGAGCTCGAGCCTCATACTTTGTTGGGGAACCTAGCTATTCGACTCACCTCGGCTCGAATCCACCCCTACATACAAGTATTCATGATCACAATTTATTTGAAGAGTTTTAACTCTTCTTTCTTTCTGATTTTCATCCTTTTCAACGATGCATTTGAAACAATCCAAAGCTTCAAAGCAATGAATCAACAAGTACACATAACCAAACCATGAGTAGTCATCAATTAAGGTATGCATTGTATCGTGCTTTAAACATTCATGGCACTTTAAATGCCAAAATGAACTAGTTCTAGCAGATCAGAGGGCCTTACAACTCTACCAAAAGGCTTCCTACATGCCTTTTCTTCCAAACATGGCTCGCACACCAGTAGGTAATTAACCTTAGCATGTAACTCTAAAAAGCCTTCTCTAGGCTCTAGCCAATCTAATCATCCTTTCTTGACTAATATGGCCAAGTCTAGCATGAAGTTTCAACAAGAAATTAACACAAACAAATAGGCAATCATATTTATTATCATCTAAATCAAGCCCGAAGAAACCATCAGATGGAAAATCATGTCCAAACAAACATCCATCAAAGAAGATGTCTAAATGATCACCACTAAACTAGAAAGTGTACCCTAAACGTAGCAAGATTAGAACAAAACACAAATTACACTGAACATCGGAAGCATATAACATAGCACATCATGTAGGAGCAATGTATGTCCATTGTGCAACCTGAGTTGATACGATCCAACTCCAAGGAGTTCTTCTATGCCATTTCCTAACATGACGTATTGTGTTCCCGCTAGAACCCAATGGTAGCCCACAAAGTTTGTTCCTGTATCTATAATTCAATTGGGAAGAGTATGAGAAACTAAAGCATGAATACACACAAAGGTATTAAAAGAGTTAAGTAAGGAAGGTACCTTCTTAGGCTTAGAGCAATCTCGATTATAATGACCCTTCTTCCCACAATTGTAGCATCACTACTTTTCTACGTCTTGCTTCCTTGCACGCTTGCCTCTACACTGCTTAGCAACTCCCCCTCTTTTTGGCCCATTGTTTTGATGAGAGCCATGTCCACCCTTTCCTCCTTGTCCTTTACACTTGGGCTTGAATGCCCTGTGCTTGTTTGTTTGCCCAAGTCCCTTACACTTGGGCTTGCTTTTTTGTTCAATTCATGATTTTCCAAAAATTTATAGTATCGGTTCGATTTTGAAAAATAGGCTCATAGATCGGTTAACCAAAATGTTACATGACTTGGTCAACCAAGTTCAAGTCATTGGCCAACATGATCCATCTCCAACCTTTTGACAATCTGAGTCATTTTTGGAATAGGCAAAATCAGAATGGCCAATTTATGGACGTTATGTAGTTTAAGATATTAAAAAGCTTTCCAAGGTCTCCAACTATGTTCAAAGGATCTTCAGCAGCTGCTTAAACGACAGAGATAAGAAAGGAGATGTAAACTCATGAAAATGGAAGGCCCGATATGGTATATATTAGAGAAAAACCACAAAAAAGAAAGGTTACTTTCTACCTCATCACGATCATCTAAACCTTGTACCAGCTATATAGAGTCAACTACATAAATCTAGTTCCACCATTTCGTTTTGATCAGTGTCATATCCATTGTATGAAGTTTTAATTTTTTTTGAGATTTTTTTTCTTTAGGGTTATTATCTGAAATCCCTCTTCACTTTGCTAACATTTTCTTCTTACTTTGATTTTTTGATATTCTATAAACCCTCTCTCATACGCTTTCATTCATAACATGTATACTTGATATGTTTGGGGTTGGTCAATACAAATTGGTAAAAAAATATGTTGTCACATCTAAGGGTGTCAATGGACCGGTTTTGGATTGGACCCCGTCCAGTCCAAAGTCAATTTGGACAGACCAACATGACATATTGGATTGGACCAATCCGGTCCAAAATATTTATTAGATTGGATTGGACTTGCTCCATCCATAATAAATTTATATTGAATTGGGTTGGATTAAACTCATATCTGGTCCATTGATATAAGAGAAGAATATAGGTGTCAGTGGACCGGATTTGGGTTGAAACTAATCTAAATCAAAACGAATTTGAACAGATTGGACAGTCCAGACATTGAATTGGACTGATCCAAAATGGTCCAAAATATTCACTAGATTAGATGGGACCTGATCCATTTATTATGAACTCACATTGGACTGGATCAGATTGGACCAAATCCATCTCAATTGAAACCCCTAGTCACATCACATAACATAATCATTTCAACTAAAAAATGCATGTAGGGATTAATCAATTCCATTTAGAGTTGAAGCTTCAAATATGACGTTTTACCACTGAAATCCGGCAGCCATAGCCATTCTGTTGTGACTGCTGACATGGGAAGTTTAGAGGTTAGGACCAACCTTTTGCCACTGCTTGCCGAGAAAAGAAGCTATGCAACAAGCATGCAACCAGTTCTATCAAACCAGATATGTCCTATCTTTCCAAATTCCATAAAATATTAGCCTTAGCAAAGACAGCCACGTTAGAATCGGAATATGTCCCCTTGACGGCAAATATGAACTAGAAATAATGAATTAATACAAGGCTTTTTAGTTAACAGTCACGGAAATAAATCCCACAAGAACTAGGTATAATAGCCTGTGATGGTGCAATTCAAACAAGTTCAGAGTTTGAACAAAACAAAAAGAGAAGGGTGGAAGATACTATCATTCCAGCTTTAATCTAAATACTGCACGTTCAGACTGTTCAAAAAAGAGGCCATTACCCAATGTTGGTCCCAGCCATATGGGGTCATGTCCTCTTTAACCCTTTACATTCAGACTGTTGAGTGTTGAACACATGATCTCATGCTTGCCGGACTGAGATTTTACATTCAGACTGTTCGGTGTTTTTTTTTTTTTTTTAATTTACTCTACATAAACTAGAATCAATGCCATCCCAGTAGTCTGAATGACTGTAGACCAGAGATTTAGCATATTGAGCAAGCTAAGTTTATTAGAGTCTATAAAAAATACATTTTCTAGAAGATAGGACAGTTATAAGAAAACAAGGGTTATCATCTTCCCATTAGATAGTCATCTGGTGATGTAAATCTGCCATAGACGAACTGGATTAGTGAGATGAGATGTTCACCCAATTGGATATTAATGGGGCCAAGTCAATTAGACAATTACTGTAATGAAAAGTGGAGCTCCAGGAAGAGCTTCCTCCCAAAGCTCCTCTCTGCAGATAATATATATTCAGATATTGTAATTTGTACAGTGCTCGAGGGAATGAAATTTCCATTTATGGATACTGTCTTTTTCTTTACTACAATAAACAAGTACTTAAATGGACGGGACCTCCACAAGGCGTTAGGCTTGCCAAAATACCACCATACAAGCAGGGTCGTGCCCAGGTTAAGAAAGGGAGACAGCCCAGCCATACCCAGTTCCAGAGGACAAGATGGTGGGTGGAAAATGAGCGTCTGCACCTCCAGAATGCAATTCAATTCTTTCTAATAAGTACTTCTCTGAAACATTCAATCCCTTGGGATCTTCATGCTCTTTCTTTATATCGTCAAAATGTCCAAAGAATATCTTTTGAAAATTACAAGTCAGGAATCACCGGTTTTGAAGGCCTTCAATTATTTTCTTCCATTGCCATGCCCTTTGTTTTGGATCCTCAAATGACATTACCTTCTTTGGCTGCTGACATGAAGAAATCTAATTCAGATAAAGCACAAATAAATGCAGAAAGAAGAGAAAATGAGAAGGTTGAGCATACCGTACAAATCTTGAAATGTGAAGAACTCAAGACTTGGATGCTTAGTTCATTGGGGTTGTCAGACCATATTATGTTCCCTTTTAGCATCAACTTTGTTGGGTCCACATATATCAATTTGGGTTTATCAGTAAGGATAAGCTGAACTTTCTTGTTAGATAATTTCTGTATTTTCTTAACCATTGATATCATTATAACAGACTCGCCTGGATCAAGAAACTGTTGCCTGTAAATATGACAAATAAACAGATCAATCAAAGATAATAGTAATAACAAGATAATACTAATCAATTGACTTCTTTAGGAAAGAAAGATACAACAAAGAGATGGCAACTATAAGGGTCCATATCTTGTTGATGATGAAGTTCTAATGGCATGATAGTGGATATACCACCAACAAAATTAGAACTCATTCACTAGATCTCATAGATCTGACTTCATATTAGCGATCAATACCCTTCCAATAGATCATATACTTCCATCAAGAAACATCTAATTTCTTTTGGCTATGTTTTAACTCTTATTAGGATTAATGTCAAACACAAGGAAAAAAGTCAACCAGATTGTTAAAATACCATCTTGAATCAAAAGAGTCAATTGAAGCAAGCCTAGTCACATGAGATGTTGCTTCAGAAGATGATGTAGCATTATCACTCCCATCATTATCTCCAACATGTGAATGGTTCCATTTAGATACTTGGCCATTATTAGCCTCAGCCACCTGCAACCACATACAAATGTTTGGTAATTTATTTCTCTTTTGCAAACATGTTAATAAACTAACTGCATCCCTTTTATAAGAACAATTCAAAAAACAGATTATCATACACTGGACTGCAAAGCAAGTTTGGGAGGAGTTTGCCCTCTTAAATTTTTCCAGTCAATCCCCTCAAAAAAAGGATGCATCTTGAGTGCAGTATAACCATCAGGTCCAGCACCTGGTCTTTTGCTTGGATTCATATCCTGCATTAGAGTTGCATGGCTAGTTAGAAGGCACAACTATTCAGACAATGCTACAAGTAATCTTGGTCGAGTGATAAAAAAAGTGAAACTTATAACATAATAAACATGAGTTAGCCAGTGCCCAACAAGTATATTTCCAGTTTCACCAGAAGAGAAATTTCTCTAGGTCTTTTTATATGAAACTGAACTCTTTATTTTAATCCAAGCAGGCAAGTGTGTGTGTGTTGAAGATGACACAACAATGGTCTGGGTATGGGGTATATAGGACCAACTAAATAAGTGTCTATTTTCTTAGTGCAAAGTTTTGATGGATTAGACACATATCCATTTACCTGGAGACACCCCCAACATAAATTAGAGTCATCTGGTTAAAATAAATTTACATTCAGAAGTTGAAGGTTGAACACAAAATTCAACTAAGAATGCCCATTAAACCTCATCAAGTATAGGCTTTCATACACATATTTTAGGATTCTAATTGTCACGCTACAAACAGATTTTAATTACCTTATTTTTTTATACTTCCTTTTTTGGATACAAAATAATGGCAGATTAGTTTTAGCTAAGTCCTTGTATCTTGATTTCGAGGACAGATAGATCTGAGTCCTAGATGCATACATGCACCCAAGACACATGCTTGGATCATTGAATACATTAGTACACATGAAAACAAGATGCACTCAAATTGTTTTTGGTTCTCCAAGACATTCAGATCCTTGACTATAAAGTTGTAAATACTTAACTAGTCCTACAGAAATGAACCTTTTATATTGTCTGATCAATATAAAATAAAGGGTAAATTAGAGACAGCTACCCTGTACTTAGGAGGTAGTGACACTTGGTCCCCTGAACTTTGTTTTGCAACAAAGACCTACTTTGCCTCTGCCTATCATTCTGTTAGTTGACTTCATGGAATATTCCATTAAACATTTCTAAACCCCCAAGCTGCCCTTGTGTTATTTTACAAAACCATGTTGCCCTTTTAACTTAGTTTTTCTAAAATTTGAACTCTTACATATTTCTCTCAACTTTCTTTCAATAAAGTTCATTTTGAGAATGCCTTGAGAATGATTTGTGCTTTAGAATGCTTATTTTCATCATTTTGATGTTTGTTGCTGGTTGGCCCATAGAATCTTGAATGGGAAATTTGGTAATTTTACTTTCACCATAAACCCTGTGAGGTCAGGGAACAAAGTTCTGGAATCTAGAAGCTCCATAGCCCAGGAGGGGGAGGGGGGCTAAGTGTTACCACCACATAAATACAGGGTGGCTATCTGTAAATTACCCTAAAATAAATAAGTATACCAAAAAAAAAATAAAATGATTAAGTAGAACCAGTGCTTGCATCAAGGGTTTTAGATTTGAAACATATCAACTTTGGATCTGCTACAAACATTACAATGCTTGCATCAGCATCCAATGCTTTGCTTTTATGGAAACCAAATTCTGACAAGTAATCATCTTGTAAGAGGGAGATGGTTCCAATGATCTCTAGCATTTACTAGTCAGAATCTGATCTTCAAACAGTTCTAAGTTGCTTGAGATGGTTCCAATGGTCAGTTCCCCATAATCTGATTTCAAACGGGCAAAAGCATTGGACGCTGATGAAGGAAGTGATCATGAAATCATTAGGTTGTGTTCACAAACACACTAGGTTGCTTGAGAGAAGCCTGGTGGGCCGGTTTGTTAATTCTGATCCAAATGTAGAGTGCACAAGGGATTGGGCAGCTGCAGAATGATGCCTAAATTCGGCGTTTCAGATTAGAAAATTGAACTCTGGCTTTTTTTTTTTTTCTTTTTTCACTTTACTTTTGGTAGTGAGGATGAAGAGAGCAACATTCTGAGTTGAGAACAGAATCAGGTTCATGTTCTGGGGTTGGGAGATGGAACCCTTTGGTAGGTGCAATCAGAGACCTCAGTCCTTCAAGCTTGGTTTGGATTAACATCTTTGGAATTCCCTTCATGCATGATTTTCAGACTTTTGAATCTGTGGGAGATGTTTGTGGGAAATTCAGATTCGTTGACCCAAGAACAGCTTCATGGCGGAATCTAGTTGTTGTGCACTAGATTTTTTTTTTCCAGCTAGTAGGTTTGGGGATAAATGGTGCAAATGGATAAACGGTTGCCTTTCCAATTGCCATTATTCCATCCTAGTCAACGAGGTAGTTAATGATTTTTTCCCAGCTAGTAGGGGTCCGAGACAAGGTGATCCCATGTCACCTTTCCTTTTTATTTTAGTTGCCGATAATTTTAGTAGGCTCTTCTCTTAAGCAGATAGAGCCGGATCTCTAAGAGGGTGGAGAATAGGTAGAGATTGAGTTTCAGTAACTCATCTCCAATTTGTAGATGACATAATAACCTTTTGTGAAGGTTGTGACTTGATGGAGGTAAGGAATTTGAAGGATTTAATAATTCACTTTAAGAGGGCCTCAAATTTGAAGGTAAATTTTGAGAAGAATTGTATTGCAGGAGTTCATTTGAATAGAGAGGAGATGGAGTCTATAGCAGCCTTGTTAGAATGCACCTTCTCTCAGTGGCCTCTATCCTACCTAGGACTTCCATTAGGTGCAAATCCAAAGGAAAGTAGGTTCTAGAACCCGGTGGTGGAAAATTTTGAAAAATGATTGGCAGCTTGGAAGAGAAACTATATTTCCGTGGGGGGTAGAGTTACTTTGATTAAAGCAACTTTAGCCAACTTGCCTTTATACTTCTTTTTTTATGGAAAAAAGGTGAGCTACAAAGCCTGGGGGTAGCTTTTCCCCTTACATCCGCATCACAAATAAAATTAAAATCACAAGTCCTAAACTCATTACTATCCTCACGACTATTAAGAGCTTTACGAGCTAACCAATCAGCCAATTGATTTGCTTCCCGATACATATGCTTGAATCTGATATTTAGGTTAAAAAACTCAACAAGGTTTTGGCATTCCCTAATGATACTAGCTAATCTCCATGGGGGCGAGACTCGACCATTGAGACAATCTTTAACTAGTTTAGTCTCCTTTGATGGTGATTTGCTGGTCCCTGAAGTTAATCGCGATGTTGATAGCCTCCCAAGCAGCCCACGCTTCCGCAAGGTTGATCGTCATGATACCAATCCCAATCGCTTTGGTCTCAAGGACATAACCTTGGTGGTTCCTAGCAACACACCCAATAGCACAATTGCCATTAATCAAACAGGAAGCATCAAAGTTGATTTTGATGCAATCAGCTTTGGGCCTATACCACTTAACAAGATTTAAACTTTTACTGTTAGTGATACCCACGCAAGAAGAAACTTCTTTAATTTCATTCCAGTAAGCAAAAGCTCTGCCACTGATATTCTCTACATTACTGAAACCTCCATTAAAACATTTATTATTTCTATTCTTCCATATGAACCAAGAAACACATGCAAAATTTTCTCTCAGGAAATTATATCTGGAATAACCATTTGGCTTGTTTTGGGCCTTTATACTTCTTGTCAGTCTTTAGAATTCCTAAAAGGGAGGCAAAGAGGTTGGAAAAATTGATGAGGGATTTCTTATGGGAACCGGGAGAAGAGAAAAAAGATCACTGGTGTGTCGGAGCAAAGAAGAAAGAGGCCTAGGCTTAGGGAATGTGGTGAGAAAGAATGAGGCTCTTTTGGGTAAGTGGCTTTGGAGGTGGCCCCTAGAGAGGTAGAGGTTGTGGCATGAAGTAGTGAAAAGTATCCATGGCTGTTCCGAATCAGGTTGGGATGTGGGGGTATCCCGAAAGGCTTTGCTCACAACACCTTGGAAGGCTATCTCTGGCATTCTCCCTAAATTCCTCAGTTTTGTAAGGTATGATGCTTGTTCTAGAAACTCCATTCTTTTTTGGGAAGATACTTGGGTGAGCACTCAACCCCTAAAAGATCGTTTCCCTTCTCCCTATTCCATCTCCCTCTTTTTAAAGAGAAACC